ACGCTCAGTTTCACGTTATCTGGCTGTCATACGCGCGATAGTGATGGTTTCATAATGTGCGAAGAGGGTGGTTCTGCTTGATATACGAAAAGATTTTAGTGTCAAATTCAGTTTTGTACTGAATATGTTAGAATTGTATTTAAAGCGCCCAGGTAGTCCTTTTGAAAGATTACATATAAGCCACAAGCAGAAATAGTGTTATGGGCCGTAACATTCAAGTAACTCTGATTTATCAAATTGATAACACGAGTGTCAAGAATGGGGGATTGTTCGATGATCATAAACAAATTGTCCAATTACCAAACCAAGCAACGATCTTTGGTCATTCCCAAATACTATAAGCAATGTTACAAGAAATCTTCTCAAAATATTAAGAAATAGCAGTAGACAACTGGTCTTAAAACCCTTTCCATTCCCCTTTTGCGGAATCGACACTAACGTGTACTCGGTAACGTAGCAACCAGAGAACCAGAACTTGATTATTCAATGTGTTCCATATTGGTCCAATGTATTGTATGGAATGTATGAAATGGCATTTTAAGTAAAAGCGTCATTAAATCAACTCTACGAGTACTATATTGCCCAACTCACAGCACTGCCATTGCTATTCAATGACTACTTCATTAGTATTGACCATATTGTTAATGTATCTAATAACAACGCCGTTGATTTCATATCAGTAGCAATTCCGTATCATGGGCTCATTTCTCGTCTACCACCAAAAAATCATGACAAAATAGTTCAAGGTATGATATACTTGCTTTGTTTTATTATTCGTATGATTGTCTTTATATGTCGCAAATGTAATAAAAACTATAAACGTATTAACAAATCAAGCATAGATGAATATTCATCGCCAACATGCAACTTAATACAACCATAACAACAATGTGTACAATAAATAATGCTACACGTTTCTAATATACCTGGCCATTCCCAAAAATAACACAAAACAGTATACAGATGTTAACACTATGATATCGGTGTCCATTTAGCAAATACAACATAGAAATACTGCTTGATTAAACATAATACTATTATAGCAACTGGTTCTGAAGTTGATATTTTGAATACGTTCTGAGATTACAGTATACCACATATTTACATGTATAGGACATTTTTCGATTACTGATTTCTTGGGGAATAACTTTTATTTTGAGCAATGTACATGTACATCGCTATTTGTTCATTTTTTAAATAATTACATACCACGTGATATTGTATTCGAATACATGTATTTTATATCCGAAACTTGCTGCTTAACAAATGGAAATTTAGGAACATGTGCGGTAATCTTAATTTAAACCTAAGTTCACTTATTAAGCCTGTTGTGCAGAGAGGATTCATTTTCATAAACTTTGGCGGTTTAGTTTATATCAACACTCATATCAACAGTTTATGCCTTATGGTCTGTAGTTATGGCCGGGAAAGTGTTGGTGACATTCCGCTTTGACCTTAAAATCCAACCAGGTGTCGTGCGCAAATGGAGACCGTGTGTGAAAAGTTTAAAGGCGATGCACATTTTTTCCTTGGGAATATATTGCGAACATACATTCACACATGTTCACCTATTACCTTTTGTCCTGAAATTATATATGTTCTTGCGGGTCACTAGTGTGTAAAGTTTGAAGACAGTAGCTATATTTTTCACTGGAAACTCATGCACAGATACTGCGAACTCGACTTTCGTCATTATGTCCTCTGAATGTAACTAAGTATTGGGAATAACATTTGGGACATATATGGTTACGCCAGTCTTATTTAAAATCTCGTGACCAAAGACTCAACATGTACGAGTTCTTTTTTTTTTGTTCTATCACTCCATACTATATTGTTTTGGTCGTATGGACAAGGTCATTATAGTTGTACTATGTTTTCACACACGATGTGACTAAATTGGATGAGTTGACGCCCAAATGAATCGTTGTACATAAGTACTTTCAGGTGTATGTTAAATTAAATGTCTGAACTTTGAGTCACATATTTTGAAGGAGACGACACAAAGCCACACGCCATATTTGATGGTGACAATCACGCAGTGACTGTGATATTTGCCCACAGCGCAAAAATATACACAAAAAAACGAGATGTCGTTTTCAATCAAAATTTGAAGATGTCCATTTAGTAAATGAGAATAAATAGGTACACGAGCACAACATATAAAATATGTTGCACTGTAAAGTACATTTGTCAATTAATCATTTGTCATTTGTCACATACATATCTTTCTTTTTCCCACAAAAAATATTAATTGCCATTAATTAAAATGGAAAGTTATATAGAACCAGTTTTTGTTTGTAGCCGACACATTTTTTAAACCATGTGTATGAATTGCAAATGTTCAAATGTATTTCACTATTTATTTGTTAATTTCAGACCAAATGTGCATAAATAATATCCAGTTAGCTAAAGCTCTTGGACGGAATATTTGAGAAAATCATGATAAATTATGGAAAAAATGTGAAATGTGACGAGAATGTTGATGTTGGATTGTTAAGAAAGAAATTAACAACATTGCATATAGAGAATATCTATTCTTATATATGTGACACAGATAACGTCAATCACATCAGGATATCAACGTGCTATCCGCGTTTGCCGTGAGGTTCATCCTGGTCAAATAACACGAGATGATGATGATGTCGATATGATGTGTGAATAACAGGAAATGATGTGTGGACATACCTGCTGACTGTACGGTGAGACATTCACAGATACAGAAAATGCATGCCACAAACATCGATGGTAGACTTGACTGCTTCATCTTTGTCATCCTTTATACGTTTTACGAACACAGACAAACATACGGAATGCGTAGGTGAACACAACACATGCCGAAAAAGAATATGATTTGAAGGTATTAGAATGTGTCACCCTAGCGCCTTGTTTTTTTTTAAGGCCCCGCATCTCGTTTCGAAAAAAATAACGCATCATGGTCGTCATGGTTACGACAATCGACAGTAATACGTATACATTACATGGGGTTTTATCAATGTAAATGGTTAACATCCAAAGGAGCAAATTTTTGTTACATGTTGATAAAAGAACGCACAACTCGTTTTTATTATCTTTTCAGTGTTCATAAAAACTGCGATTTCAGTGTTACATAGTGACATCATCACATCATATGAATATTCCGCGCTGTTACACCTCATAACTGAACAATAAGAGACGCGAATAATGTAAAAATGTGTGTCAGTTTCTATGAGTTTTATTCTGATTTAATCCAGATTATTTATTTATGTAAATCACCGGGATGAAAACACTTGATTATAATGATCCGATTTGTGTTAAACCTTGACTCTTCAATATTCAAATGCAATTCCTTCGTCGATTACTGCGTGTAAGGGAGCCGTAACAAAGGTCATCTTTCTAAGTGATTTATGTATCAATATTCACCCATAATATCACGTGATAGGTGAGAGATGAATCATATACAGGTCGCCATGAGGACCATCTAATTTTTTAAAATGTGTGTTGACGATGATGAACAAAAAAACAACAACAATCTTTATTGCGTTCATGTTCTTTTTTTTTGATTTTGAAAGAAATGGAATACCTGAGTGAAATAAGAAAAAAAGGTTCAATTTACTGATGACTTTATCTAGTGGCAGCTGATTTTTGTACATTCAATTTTTCCAACTCTGAATTAATGTAGTTACAGTCATTATTCGGTTTGCAAAATGTGAGTTCCATAGATGACATGTTATCTGTTTTTTATCTTTTACGTTATTAAATCTATAATTACACACCATCTAAGTATGTGAAAATTGAAATTTGTAATTAATTTACCAGATCTGTTGAATTAGATTTATTTATATCAATGCATAGTTTCTAGTTTTTCAGTATAGTTGAATACTGTGTCGTGTACTTTTCTAGGAGTAATTAAATCACTAGTCTAATATTTAGAATAGAAGGTGCATTTTGCCACAGAAATCATATTCATTTTTAGGACTACATGACAGAGCTGTGTGGCCATTTTATGTATTTTATGTTCTTTAATGTCATTGGCAAATATATTTAATAGTAGGGGTTTCGGGCCATCTCAATGCATCATGCTTCTTTCCACCGGGAATGTTTTCTTCTGTCCATTTCTTGTTTTAACATATGCAAGTGAGTTTGGATAAATACATATACTGTCAAATTGTTCGTGGGATACAACTTTTTTGGTATTTATAAAATAAACCAAACCCATTGTTCGAACATTTTTCTCTGCGTGCTCTGACGGACACATTTCTGTTTTTGTGTACTTTATTCACATTAAATGTCACTTATGTGTTTTTACATCATTGTCACATGCAAAGTTGTGTTTCTCTTCAGTATACATGCACAACCGTTATATTCACAGCACGTAGAAATTCAAATTGATTAAAATTCAGTGCATGTAGAGGCTCCGGTTGCAGTTAATTTGACAGAACCTAAGAACGAACAGACCCTCTACCTGCACTAGAATTTAATGAGATGGGTTATGTTGACATGTGAACATATTAGTTAATTAATGCTTCAGTATGTTGGATTTTCGCAAAAAGTAACCATAATTACAGACACAAATGTTTCAGCAAGTCCACATTGAATGTGCAAACTAGTTATATCATGTACATTTAATGAAAAAAAAACATTGCATATACTTGAACCACTACGTGGAAACACTTGATTATTTGCAAATATTGACAGAAACACTTTAAAAAGCTCGAAATAATATATATTATAAGATTGTAATCCATCATTGCATGGCATTTCAGGATTGTAATAACTACGACACACGATATAAGTCAGCCCACCCTGTTCATCATAAATATACACAAGTATATCTAAATGAGTTATAAAATATAAAACAAAAAGTTGTATAAAAAAAACTAGAAAAAATCTTGTATAGACAAAAGTAAAACACACTTCGTTTGTTTATATAATGGTAACTTCTTTATATATTCATGTGGTACCCCATTCAGTCATCCGGTAGTGTACATGGTGTCTTTCTCGGGTGGCTTACTGTCACATTCAGTCTAATAAATACTGCAAATTGAATTAGAGTTAGTCAGCTGTTGTTGTCCTCATCGTGAGGCAGGTGCAGAATTTGCTCCGGCCTAGGTGTCCGCTTTAATTTCTAACACTCGACTGGTACCGTATTATGTACATTTATAATTTTTTATGTTAACCAAGACATAAAGAACGTACACTAGATATCATGGCATAATGTTTGTTGTCCCACAACGGTAGCAGACGTTGAACTGTGAAGTCAATATTATTATGTTGAACAGTGTTGCATTTTGTTAATGACAACTTGATCGGTTCAGTTACATATCGATAGGTCCATAATATCAACACCGTTTATATGTCATGACAATCGTGTTCCTCTGTCGACTCTCGTCTTTGCTGCTTCTCCAGTGATGTCAGCATTGCAGAAATGTCCGAATTCTTCAATGCCGAAGGCGTCACCGAGTCTCTATTATACCCACCGTCCACCGGAGTATTGGACGGAGTCGGCAACTGTGGGAATGAATCTTCTCTAATCGGCCTATACACTTCGCGACATTGCTTACGACCACCTTTCAGGAATTCGTCTCCAAGGAAACCCCCTTCCATAATGGCGGGCGTGTAACTACGCAGTGTAGATTGTTGCGTGTCGTCTTTTTTAGATTTGGAATTGACGTGTTGATACTGCAGAGAGGAACCAGCTATTTCACCTCGCACTGCGTGAGAGTACTTGATATATCGCTTTTTCCTTTTGTTGCCGGGCACGCACTTACTTTTTCGACAACAGCATGCGATGAGGCAGATAAGGGATATGACTAACAATATTAGAAGCGCCAATATCGCCACGATAGCTGCGTTGCCCAGTCTTAAAATGTTACCAATGATGTCTGTCCAAGCTAAGATTTAAAGGGAAAAAATAAATGTGATTTTTCGGTGCACAAGATAAGCAACAAGTAGTATTCCACACAGTATAGTGTAGTCCGACAGAAATTACGATGCACATGAGCAATAAATCAAAAACGAAAGTTTTCCAATGTACTTACGTAGAGGGCAGTTTGCTTCATACTGGCTGTTCGATTCGTCGGTACCATCGCCACAGTTATCATTGCCATCGCATTGTAATTCAGAAGCAATACATAATGCGTTCTCACACCGAAAGTCACCGTCTCTTGGACACGTGTGTGTAACTATGAACAAAAGCGTAGGTATCATTGAAGGGTGGCTTGGTCTGAATTTACAGTTTATATGTGTGTTTTTGCGGAAAAGTTTGCATATGAAAAGTGTTACTGCTAGGCTTTGGGGATACTGGAATTATAGATGGGTACCCCCTCAACGATGTTGATGATTGTTACATGGTCCACAAAAATACGCTCTCCCCAGCGCGTAACACCAGACAGATGTTTAAATATTGGTTGAGATTGCGTAATATGCCCGAAAACAGCCTCCTGAATGAAGCATACAGATTGGCAATCAATATGGATAACTCAGACAGCCAAAATTGGATATATTGTATTAAAACAATTTTCAAAGATCTTAATATGGAACATGAGTTGGAAAAAGGAAAGATTTAATGAAAACAAATACCTAATAAATAATATTATTACATTATAGGAAGAACCCCGTCATGGCCCCGATATCACTACGGTATACTGGTCAGGTGACCTGGCAGTTAACATTACTTTTCAGTTCTTAAACACATAGTAGTTCGAACTCGAGAACCATCGATTACTTGATGTCCTGTGTAATCAGATTTTAATGACATTTGATGCCCTATAAATATACAAAAATCAAGTTCGTGTTTGTTTCTTTGTTAATACTAATGTACGCATATACTCCCTCTACGCACAGTGAATGGCGAAAAAAGGTTATTCACATCGTCATTAATATGTTGATCTGTAGTAGACCGACAATAAAAAATAAATGTTTTTTTACAGATTGATATTTTTAATGTCGAACTACTACACAACCAAACACAGTTGTCGTTTTGAGCAAAATTGTTCGTACTTATTCACGGCCTGTGTACTGTGTATGCACAGATCCTGTACAACGTACGCATAGTTCATTTAGATTGTTATTGCTATTTGTACAAATCGTTTGTTGTATTTTACCGCCGTGATAGTCCCTCTATAATAAACAGAAATTGTCAAATTTCGTCATAAATGCGTGAAATTTGGAAAAATGTATGATGTAATCGGTCGACATTTTCCCATAGCCCAGTCTTTTTTAGGCAATCGTAACTGGTTTGGACGAGATATTCTGTATTTTGAGGTATGATTTTCGGCAGATAAATAATGCGTGCATGTTTTGTTTTCTCCCTTGTTATATATATAGTGCAGGCTGATCGGCCAGAAACAAGTATTAATGATTTTTGGGGTTTCGGAGCGTTGATACTTCAATTTAATGACATATGCTTGCTTTACATTACTAAACTGTAATAAATATATAATTTCTATTATTTTGAGCAAAGGTAAGACCTTGTATCGGGACATAGTCATTCCGCCCCGTAGACGTCCATGTATCGGGACATAGTCATTCCGCCCCGTAGACGTCCATTTTCTATTATTTTGAGCAAAGGTAAGGCCTTGTATCGGGACATAGTCATTCCGCCCCGTAGACGTCCATTTTCTATTATTTTGAGCAAAGGTAAGACCTTGTATCGGGACATAGTCATTCCGCCCCGTATACGTCCATGTATCGAAATGAATCATAGATCCGCAAAGGTAAGGCCTTGTATCGGGACATAGTCATTCCGCCCCGTAGACGTCCATGTATCGAAATGAATCATAGATCCGCAAAGGTAAGGCCTTGTATCGGGACATAGTCATTCCGCCCCGTAGACGTCCATGTATCGGGACATAGTCATTCCGCCCCGTAGACGGCCTTGTATCGGGACATAGTCATTCCGCCCCGTAGACGTCCATTTTCTATTATTTTGAGCAAAGGTAAGGCCTTGTATCGGGACATAGTCATTCCGCCCCGTAGACGTCCATTTTCTATTATTTTGAGCAAAGGTAAGGCCTTGTATCGGGACATAGTCATTCCGCCCCGTAGACGTCCATGTATCGAAATGAATCATAGATCCCCAGGCCCCTGTGGTTCGGACCAATCGTATACACCCACAAGAGATAATCTGCCGGGAAGAGCAAAAGTTCGGCTCCGATAAAATGATGCCATGTAAACCTAACCGTTTTTAATCAAATATCTTATTTAAATTCGTCCTAAGCTTTGTCTTTGAAGACAGTCCGAGACAGCCAAAACTCACAGACCACTCTTACTCTAATTGTGTAAAACCTTACCCCGTGCATATGTAACAGCAGAGAAGATAAACTCATATCCTTCTCCTTGAGTGTTGCTATTGGTTACAAACCTCAAGGTGACGGCATTCGATATAGATATGATATCACGTGGTAATTCGTATCCACAGTATCCGCCAGCAGGTGCAAGTGAGTTGTTACGTTTATTTCATTCCCATCATAGACGTAGAGGACGTCCTTGCATTCTCCAAAGTATACATCCGGTATGTTGAACATTTCAAAATGTAAAAGGATTCGCTGGTCTTTGTCGGCTTCAATCGTCATCGTACAGTCTATCTCCTTGGCATAGTCTACATGTGCCTGTGATCGTACCCTACCGCCCTTTATGGAAGCGTCTATTTTTTCTATGCAGTTATACCAACGAGCCATGTAATCTGCAATGTGAATACAATCGAGAGATCAGTGTGAATC